GTAAGAATTGTGTTATGTTTTATAAGAGTATTGAGGTTTCTATTTTTTACTGTCAAGTCATTCAAGTGGTCTCAAGAGGATTATGCAAAATTAGAAGTGATAACGATGACTGTCATTTGCTGTCTTTAATCATCGATAACACTGCAATAAATAGAGGTGGCATAAATCATGTTTCATGCCTCACAAATGGAATCGAATTTGAGTACGCTCTCAATCCGCAAAAGTAATTATTATTGATGTACTGATTCCGGTAAGGCGAAACCACATTGACTTTAGTGTGTTTGAAAATGTTTTGCCATTCTTCAGTTGGATTCCCTGACATAACTAGTGATGATAGTGCCTTCAAGTTGCAGTCAAAGTTCAGTGGAGAGATGGAAGTAATTTCTGAAGTTTACTATTATTTTAATTTAGGATTGACTGCTAATCAATATTTTAGAGCAGAATTTCATTAACTACTGTCTGCATGAATAAATGTTTGAAGCAAAGAAGGATAAAAGGAAATATCGCAATGTTTGTTTGTAAATAGATGATAATGAACAGTAATAAATAGTAATAAATTATTCGTGAGCTTTTCATGAGTTACTGATAGCGTTGAGACTAACAGTGATTTCAGATTATCTTGTCAAATGAAATTTTTGTTAAAAGTGTTGTGCTTTGTGACATTACTTTTTGCTCTTAATTAAATAAATACCGTAAAATTATTATTTTCTCTACTCAAAAATGAAAGTAGATGAAATTCGATGTGAAGTAGGTTGTCACTTATCGCTATTAAAGCAGACCAAACCTCATCAACTCCATATAATGTTGGCTGGTTATTGAGTATATTCATATTTTTCCCCTATGATTCTTTTATCAATTTTCGTGCTTATTAGCAAGCACTTTAACCTATTCATGTTTTTGAGTGTTAGCTTTCTCCGTTTAAAAGCATTCCACGTAAATCAGGTTACGCTATCATTTCGTCTTTTAAACACTTCATTTTCATTCATCATGTAATTACCAAGTTCAGTTACGACTTTAAATTTGGATGCAGAGCAGTGTTTGCGAGAAATTCTGCTTATTTTCAATTTTCTTGTAAGCAATATGTGTTATAATTTGCCGAAATTCTATACGCGATTTCCAAAGAAAAATTTTTGTTATTTCAGTTATTCGCCCAATTTTGTCAGTTTCAACACTGATTAGAAACGAAATTTTAACAAGTCGTAATTGTGTTTACGTAAAATTTCCATGTAATAAAGATCACGTTTTTGCAGAGCACATGATTTTTCATATCTGCCTTTTCATCGTTAAGCGAAAAATTTAGTTTCCTAACTTAAAATTATTAGAAAAGAATTTTCAGATGAGAACTTTCAGATGGCAAAGCGAAATTTTACTTTTTTTGAAAACATATTTTCAAATTCAGTATTGAAGAAAAATCTACGAAAGATTTGTGCATAGATGTTCAAACACTCATTCATGTGAAGTTGAAACAGGTGACGAAAGGTTGGTAACTCATTCTCTGCCAAGATTTCGCTCACTATATCCTCATTTAACTGGAATTTTTTGCAAAATTTCTTTTCTTTTTCAAGTTTTAAACTCTAGCAAGTTAGTTACCAACTTCACATCGGCTTAGTAATTTTCAAAACAAGATTGTTTGCATCTTCATCAGACTTTTTTTCAGTAATGTCAGTTGTTTTAAAACAGTATATATTAAAGCTAGAAAAATCAACTTAGAATATGTTCACGCTGTATTTTTTTGATTGGAATCGCTGTAAATTTAATTTGACAAACTTTGTTTAGTGTTTCCTGCGTTTTAATCGAAATACAACCTTGTTATTTAAAATCTTTTATAATCCTATAATCCGTATTTAATTTTTTTGGATTTACATACTTTTTGTCGCTTGATCATTTCCCATTTTTCAAAAAACTTCTTTAACTTATTTAAATTTCGCTTATCACAAGAAAAGTTGAAAGAAAGTAAACTTTGTGATAGGTAATGGTATCAGTTTATTGAAAATATAGTCATATTTCCTACCCACTTAACTTTTAGACTAAATTTATTTCTTTGAAATAGTTTAAGTAGGCTAAGTAACGTAGTAAAAGTATTAATCTAATACTCTTTATAATTTCTTTTGAAGCAATTACTTCTTATCTAAAATTTTAACATTTTATGTAAAAAAAGCGTGCACTGTGCTTACAATGTAAGTTTGAATTTATGCTGTTTTTGTCAAGGTGTTTTTAAATGCTTTTTTCGTTTTTTCTGTCCCTTACAACTTTTAAAAATAAATTTCTCCTAGCACATTTTATCACTTTATTATTTCTAGGTAAAGATTCATTTATTTGAAGCTCCAGCAAAGTTATCAGTTGTTTTAGCTACTTATTTAATCTTGTTTTGTTATCATTCGGAAAGCTTTGTGGATATTTTATGTTCATGATTAGAGTTTTACTTTAAAGTAACTTTTGAATATTTTTTGTGAAATACGGAATCGTTGTTCAAACTGTTGCTGTTTTATCGAGATTTGACGAAAAATATATTGGTGCATTCGAAAAACAAAATATTCTGTGTTGCACAAAATTTTGTAATAAGTCGGTACATTTATTTTTAAAGTTTGTGAAAGAAATCAAATTTCCTGTAAATAAAAATAATAAGTTAAAGAATAGTAATGATGTTAGCTTATTTGAAACTTTAATTTTTTTTCAAAACCTCATCCCCTAAATTTATTTAGAAAGCGCATTTAAACTGCAAAACGAAACCATATTTTTTGTTTGTACTGTTTTTGATCGGAAATAATCAATACTTGTTAAAAATACTATCACTTGACTCTTTTTGCACTTTTCCGAAGCAAGTGTTATTTTTTATTTTATGTTTTTCTAACATTTTTCTGCTGTTTTTCAGTGAATTGCTGTGTTCCAGATATTTCTGAAAGTTAAAACTTGTATTCTCACTATTTTGTCAAGTTTTTCAAGGCAATAATGCAATGGAGTTTCTTATGCATTGTGCATTAGTTAAGATCCGTAAGCAATTTTCTTCCATGAGTTATTGCACTAATGCGTACTTTTTTCTAGCTCTACTTTTCTTATGTTGGAGCTTAGTATGTACAGCGTTCTTGTATCCTTCATCACTGGAAGAATTAACGGCCATATTTTTTCCTCGGAGTTTATTACTTACACTATTTTTTTCAACAAATTATTATCAGCTTTAATATGCCCTTTTGCTATTAACAATTTATCTTGGTAAAATTTCCATTCACATTACACGCTTTGTGATTATTTTTGGTTTTTAAATTGTAACGTGTCTTTTTTTCAAATTCATTGATTTATGAGTGAAAAATTTACTATCATTTGCAATTATTGCTTATCTGATGGAAATATAAACTTTTAATTTTGAAACTTTTATACAGTAGATTGATTTCGAAACAAGTAAAATTAATTCAGTACAAAATATCCGAATTTGTCTTAGTTTTTGTATTCATTTATGTAAAAAGGAATCTATCTGAATTTGTAGTATTATGAGTGTTATAGATGTATTCAGAGCTATCAGATAATAGGTTAACATATCCATTAATTCTGAGTCATGCATATTATTGTGTTTAAAAAAAAATTTACTTATTACTATGCTTACTTTTGCAGCCAAACAATTTTGTCAGTGGGATTTTCTGTATATATCGAAAAATCGAAGTAACCGCTGAAGTAAAAAAAAAATGGAAATTATAACTATGTGACTTTACCTTGTAAAAAATTATGTTGTTGCAGAGCAAAAGTACTGCGAGTAGAAAAAAGTTTGAGGTCAAACAGCCCTTGCATCGCAGTGTTCACTGACATCAGTCTCTATGTAAAGGTTATTTTCTTGAGTTTTGTTATATAGCTTTTCTTAGTATAATATGGATAATTATTTTTGAATTTCAATTTTTACGCCATCATTTGTATTCTTTACGGTGTTTCATCATATACTGAAGAAACAGCTTTCTAAAAAAACAAAACTTTTTGTTGCAAAATAAATTAATATGTAACTGCCCAAGTTGTCATAAAATTTCGCGATAATTTGTACCTACTAGTATAAGTATAAAGAAAAATATTATGCCTACATTGTATTTTTTAATTTTATTAAGTACAACGAAAAATAAATATTTAATTAAAATGCTTGAAAAATTTTCAAAAAGTATGAAAATTTATTTTATATAACATAATTATGAAGCATAGCTTTGAACAATTTCAACTTCATCTTTTATCTTGTACATAAAAAATTATTTTTCTTGAATAAAGCTATGCGTTGAGAACTAAATAAATTTTATCGAAAATATGCAGATGAGCTTATTTCAATAACTCGCTGGACCAAATTTATTGAAATTTCAAGTCACTGATTTTATAGATAATATCGGTTGTAATCATCTATTTACTAATTTATAGTTTTAAATTAATAAACTCTCAAAATGTGACTGAATACTCATTTTGTGCTCAAAATTTTTACGAATTTGACTTTCATGAGCTTGGTAAAACTATTTAGCGACGTGTTTTTACAGTCTCATATTCTAGATTACAACAGAGTGTAAGTATTTTGAACTTTCAAATTCATTTATATTTCATTTTAAAATATCGATTCCTAATTTATTTTTTACCAATAATCCGTATATTACATTTTTTTGTTGTTATTATTCAGGTGTTAATTAAAATCAATAACTAATCGGCTTATTTTTGCTTTTTTGAAACTAATGACTTTTTTTTCGAAATACGGAGAGACAGGATATTCTTTATGAGGGATTTTAGGTTCAGTTTTTTATGAAGGATGAGGTTAATGAGTTTGTTTGTTTGTCTTTTCAGTTATAATGTTACTTGACTATTTCATTCCAAAAAACATGCAGGTAAGCTATAAGTTTGTATATTAGTCAGTGTGTTACACCCATACTCTACTTCCTATTTCAGATTTTGTGAATGGTATCTTTGAGGCCGAACTACAAATTTTGGCGAATTTCATTCTGAATCAGATGGCTCTCTTTTGCAGAAAATAAACTTTTTACTAGCACAGCATGTATATGGCTAAACCGGTACAAGTCGACCAGTATAATAAAGATACATGCTTTGCTAGGTCCGATTCGGACAAATACGCATCACCTATACCTCCACCTCCATTATTGGTACAGTCTCAAGTGCCACAAACAATGGGAATGAGGACAGAAGCAGCAAAGAAAGAAGCAAAAATAAGACCAGTAGCATTTGATCGAGACAAACTATTAGATGAAGTTCGTAATGGTGTGCAATTACGGCATACAGTTACGAACGATAAAAGTGCTCCGGTTGGTGTGGGACGTGTCTGTAGCGGTGGTTATTCTCCTCCGTTAGATTCTGTTACTTCCTTGTCAGAGCAGAATAGTCAAGTGAAAGCTAAAAAACCCATTTTTTTTGAGCAACACTTAAGACAATCTAAAAAACTACCGGTAACAGCACCACCATTACCATCTAAGATTGCAGCACCAGTTGCACTACTGAAGCTTGATAGTAGTAGTAGCGCTTTTGATCATGAAAAATTGCTTAACGAAATTCAAGGTGGGATCCATTTGCGGAAAACAGTAACTAATGATCGAAGTGCACCAATTGGTGTTGGAACTGTTCGTGATGATATAATTCCGAAGCAGTCAATAAATGAAAACACTTCAGCAAGTTCGACGAAACACTTAGAATCAACTACCACTGCACCTATTGTTCCTGTTCAATCTCTGTCTCCACCCACTTCATCTCAACTATCCAAATCAATCAAGCCTGTTACGAATCCAGCCCTGTTGAAACTTGGTGGTAAGCAACCAATAGATCGCGATGCACTTCTAGCATCTATTCGTTCTGGTGTGAGGTTACGTAAAGTAGAAGTTAACGATCATAGTTCACCGTTTTCAACAAGTCCTTGTCCATCTTCAGAACTGCAAGCTCGAAAAGAACAAATGACAGAACTACTACCGCCACCCCCACCCCCACTGTTTGCGCTGCCGCCTCAAACCTTGCCATCTTTAGATCCTGTTTCTCGTTCACGGCCACCGAAGAAGGCTTTCGTGAAGCTAGGTGGTAAAGTAACCGTAAGTCGTGATGAGTTACTACGTTCCATAAGACAGGGCGTCAAATTACGAAAAACAGTTAATAATGATAAATGTTCGGTAATTATTAATGATGATGATTCTGGTGTCAAGTGTTCCGGCCGTTCTTCACCTACATCAAATTACGAAGATGATGTTTACGGAAGCCAAAGCTTGAGTGATCTATCTAGTATTGGTACTTCAAGACTCAGTCCTTTATCTAATATTCCACCGGAACGACCGTGTAACTTTTATCTTGCATCACCTACCCCAGCTGTAGCAGAACCAACTAGCAGATCGAGTACATTGTCCCACTGCTCTCAAAGCACATCTTCATTTGCAAAAGCATCCACGTTTAATCATCCATCACTTAGTGTTAACTTTGATATGGTTAACTGTGAGAGAGAGACCCATCACAAAGAAAAAGAACAGAAAGAGAAAAAAATCCAAATCCGCGAATGTTACCGCCCGCCTGCGTCAAGTCGTGAGCAGATTGAATCTGAAATTCCTGTAGGTTCGACTAGAGATCGAATTAGAATGTTTGGACAAACTATGCGAGAGGCATCAAGTAGTCCTACACGTAGTATATCTAAAAAAACAGATTTTGAATCAGACAGTGGGAAAGCCAGTGTTTTGCACATGAAAAAGCTATTAAAGGACACAACAGTGGCCAATCAGTCATCGGATGTGTCAGGGTCTAATGATGAGCTTGAGAACATTTTGAATACAACTCGTGATGAAAACAGCATTCAGAAAATGGTTCGTATGTTTTCTGTTGATGAAAATTCTACTAAAGCTTCTCAACCACCTCGGTATCAGAGAAATAAAAATATGTTTACCGAACCCGAAAAAATAGTTCCATCAGTGAAGAAGAAACCTTCAAGTAATAAGGGAGCGTTGAAGAAGTCATCTACAAAAGAACCGAAAATGCGACGAAAGCTATCAGTGAAAATTGACTCATCTCCATCAAAGTTAACGACTTCTGAAGAACTACCATTAGAACTATCTAGGAAAACGGATGAAAGCCACGTCGATCAGCTGCTTGATATGTCTCAGTGTAAAATATCAAAAGTGGATATATCTAAATTCAAAAAGAAGTTTGAAAGTTTTCCAGAAAAGACTGAATCAACTATTTACCATATTTCAACGTCCCAAGAAAACCCAAAACCTGGTCGAATAAAGAAACCATCGTGGATAACGGATAAGAAATCAGATTGCTCATCATCACGACATGATTCTTGCAAGCTCGAAAAATCTATTCTTCCTTCTTCGAAAGAAGTCAAGGGAAGCGGACTTTCGTCTGAATTCTTAAAACGAGAAGAAACAAAGAAAACTTCTTTTGAAGAATCGTTTCATCAACAGTGCTCAAGCCATGAAAAATCTCCTGAAGCTGAAGAATTCTCTGTGTCATTCTTATCTAGTGATGCAACCTCTGCTCAACAAAAGCCAGCAGTGCTCTTAAAAGATGAAGATGAAATCCCACCGGTACCTCTGTCATCTCCACCTGAAATTCCCCATCAGCACACAACAAACGTTCCAGTTATGAATGATGAAAGACTTGTGAAAGAAGCTGTTGCGTCAACCTGTTATGCAAAGAAAGCGATTGCTTCGACCAAAAGACCATTGACAAGGAAAAGTTCCAATTTTAAAAAGAACTCTACTTTGAATACTGGTGGTTTGTTTAATTCACTGTCGAAACCAATCTGTACGAACTTTTCAACTACGGGTGAGACAACCACTATTGGTGTAAATGAAGAACCAAAATATAATTTTACCAATCGAAGCTTTGTCTTCAAGCCTAAAATTCAATCAAAAGTCAGTAATCGACAAAGTGAAGAATCACTTGATATCAAAACTACTTCACTTTCTACCAAGAAACCTGTCGTAAGCATTTTATCATAAAGTATGCATGAATGATCCGTTTCATTAGAATTAACGGGCAAATATGTGTAAAACATTCAGATTCAGTAAGTGATGATAGGTAATCTGTTGTTCATCGAAAAACAAGTCTTATTTATAAATACTTGATATTGCTAGATAAAAATCAGTGGTAATTACCTTATAAATTTTGTCGATTATCGCGCCACAAATTATAAGCTTCATTACTAAAGATTAGTAACTGAGTTGTCGATAAGTTAATTGCAGGTAAAAACTCAAAGCAAAAGTAAGTGCATGCTGAAGAAAACTTCTTTTTCGATTGTAAGCTAGTCATCTGAAGTATTTCATCATGTAACGTTTTAATCAAAATTAACGAATGATAATTTGCTTCAAAGTGATAATGTAATGAAAGAGTAAGCAAGTTAGAACATCAGATGTTATTAATTAGTTTTGTCTGCGTGACTAGGTAAGTCAGTTGAGATCATACAAATGATTTAGTAGCCAGTGTAGCTTGAAAATTTGACTGTTGGTTGTTCCCACAATTGGATAGATGCATCGATAGTTTTTTTTAAATAGATGAATGGGCTGGTGACAACATCAGAAGCTGTATCTATCAAATGTCACTGGCATATGGACATACAGCCACATATATGTAACATCTAGCAAAATTTCAGTAGAAAGAATTGTTCCAATTTAATTAATTAAAATAAGAAAGCAAGTTGACATTCGCTGGAAAAAATTTAATTTACATAATTAAATAAACGGCATGCAGCTTATTTATAACGGTTACTGATAGTGAGAAAGATGGTAAATCTAAAACATTTTCCTTTTGATTAATATTTCTTGCTGTGTAATTTTCGCTCAGTATGACTAAATATGTAAAAGCATTTCATTATACTCCAAGATTTCGATCTCTGTGTAAGAAACGCGAAGAAGGCATTTGTGTTCTTTCAGTTATTAATCACTCCGATAAATTATTTTTATTTTTATTTAATTTGCATGAGATAGTGGTTCCGATTTGCTTTTGATCAATAATCATAGTGGAAATAATGTTTGTGCGAATAATCTTAAGGAGAATAAAATATATTGTGTCGATAATATAAGTAGCAACAAGAATTTTACTTCGAAATTTACTTTATTTATTAGCTCACTGATGTTGATGGAGTTTGCTTATTACTTCATTTATTGAAATTAACAAAAAATTGTGTGTGTGTTCTTTTATATTTTAAAAATTGGTTTTACGAATGCTATCAACCGCAGTTTTTGCAGGAAAAAATTGACGGTGTGTATTATGCAAATATTGGTATAGCAATAGAAGGAATATATGCATTACCAGGTAATAACACCTCTTGGTATCGTTTAGCAGATCATATTAATTCTTGCGCATCATCATCAACATCATCGTCGTTGTCGTCATTATCGTCCTCAACTAGTTATTTGAAAACTACGAACAATGACAAATACGCAAATATCTATGGTAATCTCAATCAGCAAGACAACAAATTTTCCTCACCAGTAATAAGCAGTCAAAAAAGTACTGATAACCACTACGTACTACATCAACAACCATGTAATAGACGTATATGGGGTCCATTGGTAAGTCGTGGTCATCAGGTCATCGTTGGCGAATCACTTTCACGTGCAACTATCCAAAGTAGTTTTGAGCGGCAATCTTTCGTCGCAAATGATCTAAATAAAAGTCAGGAAGAGCTGAAACCGCAGCGAAAAGATAATTTTTTCTCGCGAAATTATCGTTTTGAAATTAATGTAGATAATGACGAAGAACCACTCCGCATTGTACGCAGGTAAATTCAAACTTTTCACTCATCATTGCACTGAATTTGTTTTCAAGTTTCATTCTCTTCCACTTTGCTTTTGATTTGCATTTATTCATAAATAGCAATAAAGTTATTATTTCTTATCATCGCTTGCTTCAATTTCTAATAATATCAAAAAAGACGGTGATCAACGGTTTTTTCGACTCTCAAATTAAATCCTGAAGGTAACAGCTGTAGAAGCAGCTCATACTTCCATTTAGTCTTTAATTTCATTGTTTCATAGCCATATTTTTAATTAGAAATCTTGCGTTGGTATATCAGTGAATATCATACAGATATCTTAACTGTGAAGGTAAAGAGGAAAATTTAGAAGTAATTTTTGTAAGTAGTCAAATTTCTTTCTGATCATGAGCTCCTTCTTTCTGCCGTTATATATTATATATATACTCTAAAGCAATATATATTCTACATTAGTTTGTCACTGGTCGCTAGACTAACAAGTGTTTAAAAGTGAAATGAATATTTTAAGTGTGAGTCTTGATGCTTCTTATAAATTATGCAACTACCCCCATTATGAGTATAATTTTGGCTATTTTTCATGCAATAAAGATTAAGAAAATGCCATGTTATTATAACATATTAGCTCTGCCCATTTGATGATGTCGCAAAGTAGCCAATCAATATTGGCTATTTGTGATTAAATACTGCATGCTTTTATTGCTTCGATTCGGACTTCCATATTAACTTTTATTGTTCCTCATGTTGGCATTAATTAATAATTTCATTATAATATTTTGATGTGCACCTGTATTTGTGTACATTTTACTTTAGGTTTTGGATTCGTTATTTCAACTCAATGGCTAAACTTCATGTTCATACATTGGTCGGAAACGTTTTATTAGTTGTCCTTTACATTAATTTTTGCATTTTTTTAATATACTGACTATTCATAATCGAGCACTGTATTCTTTTACATAAAATGTTTCAGATTTATATTGTGGGTTTAGTTTTCTTGGTGCTGTGTATCTCATGAGTTGCTGTTTAGAAAAATGAGCTAGATTGGATTGCTTTTTTTGAAGTTGTCATCTGAATTTTGAACACCAGTTCGGCATATAAGTTGCAGATGATCTATCAAAGCTTTGAAAACTTACATGTATTGTGGACTTACTCATAATTTCCTATTTGTTATCGTGATTATTGATATAAATTATTAAAGAAGTTTATTTCTCGGCAGAAGAAAAGAGTAAAAGTAATCGCTCAATAATTGAATAAGTATGAAAGTCTAAACACGAAAGTTTCGTTATTAAAAGTTTTGCTTGTTCCAACTAATTTGAGGTACAATGAACAAATATATAAGATTATTATATTTCTTGATTATAAGTACTTATTATTAATAATCAAAGGAGTGTGGGCAAAGGTCATGGCTGGGAGATTTCATCTTTATATCTCAAAAAGGATGGAGAATAAAGTGACTATTGTAAGCCTTTTGCAGCATGAAACTATCAACTCTTTAACATGAAGATAAATTTTGATCATTAGCTTTACCGGACTAAAAGAAATTTTTTTAGAATACATTTAGCTTTCAGAAATGCGTGTTTGACGATGATGCTTTCTAATCGTATTGTTAATATTAGAAATGAATAACAGCTCATTGTCGTTTCAGCATTACAGTAATTGGGATGATTTGGTTTGAATTCTTTATGTTAAGACGGTCTACTCTTTGATCGGATTCGGAATGTATTAACGTTGATGAGTGATCCTTGAAAATAATCGTCGTTAAACTTATGTAGAAGTCTAAATTTTATCATTACTCCACATCTCGTTTTTCATGCTTCAAGTTTAAAAATAATTCGATTAGTAATGAGATGCAGGAGATGTACCATAGAAATTTAAAAATATGCTATGCAAGAAAATTTTAAAGCTAATTACCAAGACATCAGTAATATATCATATCAGCGTGAAGTACTTTACCGCTTTGGCAAATCATGTGTTCTAGACCTTGGGTAAGACCCATTTTTCGTAAAATTTTCAACATTTAATGCATTTTGATTTATGCCTGTCACTGGTGACATATTTATTATCCTTTTTTTTCATTTTTACTTACTACGGGTCACAAGTAGTTGTGCTTAAGAATTTATAGACACAAAGATATATGAGCACATTATACGTAAACATCATATGACAACCTACTCTATGCTTTGGAGCTAATATGATGATTATCTGATGTAATCCAAAACAAACAGCAAGAGAATAATCTTCGTCTCAAATATTGGCTAGTGTCAAACAATGTGCTTTAGAGAGAAAGTGTAATATTTCTCAATGACTAAATTTGAGGTGATTGTGCTAGTTATTAAACATTCATAGCAATCGCACAGAAACAAAGTGGTACTCAAGTCAAGAAAAGAAATGATAATTATTATAGAAGTATTTCAAAGATTAGTAATCGTGGGAAAAGACAGCATTTGCAAAAGCATTTTCATTCTCACTGAAGTTCTAGCTAGCAGCTAACCCATAAGCTTTATGTTTAAAGATATGCAATAACCATTATTTAAAGCTAATATCTCATTGCAATGTACGAAATTTCGAATCCACATCTTAATCTGTCATAGCAATCACGAGAAGGCAAATATTTATGAAGTTGAGATCACAAAAAACCAAGTACTATTACTAGTCAATCCTGAAAATTCATCACAACAAGAAAAAATGCGTAAAAGTTAAAGTCGTGTGAAATCATTTATGAATACGACATCAACAATACATGATGCAAGCATTTCGAAGAGAATCAAAATTTTAATGAAATCCAAAAAATTCAAATTCATTAACAACTCACCATTTTAGAAACCTTATTAAAAAGCACGTTCGAGCTGAGACACTATTCCAAAAATTACTGAGCATAGACTTTTAACAAAATTCAAGGAACGGAATGAAAAATTATGACAAGACGCTCATTTGATCAAATTACTACTTAACTACTTTAACGTTATCTGCCTGAACTCAGCATCTAAATGCAAGGAAGACCTCAAGTTATAATTTCGAAGAGCCTAGTTGTAAATATTACCTCAAATAAAACTATGCCACATTTTAATTTCACAAAGTACTCATGTAATTATCAATAAAACTAAATATTAAACAATTCAAATGAGAGTTCAACGCTAAGTAAAAATGTAGCGAATTAACGAATCCTTATTACGCTTGTATATATATGTTCTGGCGCTGAATCGCATTCTGGCACTCTGGCTGTACTTCCGCGCTCAGACTTGTTGTACTTATTGTTCTCGCTTCGTCCTAGTGGAATCCATATTGACTGTCGAAGAAGATGCTTTCAAGCGTCTTCTTGAGAACTATTGACTGGATATATGCGTCGACGTAGTCTGATATACCAACCTCCTTCCCAATTTTTGCGGATGTTCGTTAAAATCCCATCCCAAGTTATCACATACGGAATTATTTTGGTTCATCTGTGACTCAAGCTTATTAGCAAGTTTGTCATATTTTCGCTTTTTCTCGCACTCGACTGCTGTCAAACTGCCTGACTAGTGATGTCAACCTCAATCAGGGTTACTTCATGTCGCTTCTTATCGTGTATCATGATATCCGGTCGATCCGCGTTTGTTCTGATTGCAGTTCTCACTCACGTATCGACTCTGATCTCAACGTTCTCATTCGCCACGACCTGCTGAACAGAATGGCTTCGCAAGCTCGGGAAAGCTTTCAGACCATACTTCTTACAGAGTCCCATCGTAGGACATCACTGTGTCTTTTAGTGTATAATCGTGATGTAATCTTTTTTCTCACTGCGTTGCTAGATGGTCCACCGTCTTCACACGTTTCCTACAATGTTAGCACATACCTTCCTCATCTCCAAACATATTTCTATCTTAGAGATAACAGTATCGTGCCTCATCTTGCGGGGTAATTTTTCCGTATCGCAACCATTTTACAAATCAACTGAAATGCGCACTTCGAAGAAAATACGCTACAGGAGTGGAAGGTTCATCTAGATGTGAAGGAAAAATATCTAGTGCTGATGCAAGAGGCACAGGGACGTGAGATAAACCAGACAAAGTGGACGCGGAAAATAATATCGGAGAGCGTGGACCCGCTCATAATTGGAGCAGTAAATCAAGCAGCGGATGAATATGCTACACAGAATCTTCGCAAGTCAATGACTGATATCACAAGGCAGCTCCAGACAGCACAACAGTGTTATGAAGACATGACAAGGCGAGAGAAGAAGCCAACGGGATAGTGGTGGGAAATAAGCATAGAAAAGAAGATGAGCTTGTTGAATTTTCACAAATCCTTCATAGAATGGACTTTGGCCTGTGAAAAACTGGGAGGTAAAGACTTAAAGCAGGCCAAGAAGTATACGAGGGAGATGAGTCTCATACTTGCTCTTAAGCGTCACTGCCATGAAGCGTTAAGCATATTGACAGACCGTGTGAGAGTTTACGAAAGTAAAATAAAAAGTTATGAGACCCCATGTGCATTCAAAATACAAAACGCCAGATTCGAGCTGCTCAGAAGACGGTTTTATAGAAGTCTGACCGAAGGACAGCACGTAAGCCACAATGTAAGGACTGAAGAGATCAGGGATTTTGGGGGCACGATGTGGAACTTCGGACTGGGAAAGTATGATGATATCCATCACAACGAATATCTGGAAGCATTCGTTCCTGGTGATAAAGTGGATCATACTTTCACCTCTGAAGCCTAATTTAGGAAGATAGTCTCCAATTTGCCCAATTGGAAAGCGGCAGGGCCTGATGGAGCTTATAACTTCCTTTTTAAGAAGTGCGTTTCCTAGCAGTCAGACCTGTACAATAGTGAGAAGAATTTGTCTGGTTGGGGAGGAACAGGATCCGTGGTTCTATAATGGTACTACCTACCTGATTCCAAAAGATAAGGCCAATAACTTGTATGTCGAACCTCTACAAGTTAACAACGAAATGTAAATTATTCGTTTTGACCTATCAGATTTCAGTTTATCAAGTTCTCTTATTTGCTTTTTCTGATGCTTCTCATTTTTTAGTGTACAACATATTAAAAGTCTTAAAAAATGCCACAGTATGTTCGCTGAGAATTTCGGAGCTTGGTATAGTCGAGAAATCGCCTTTATAAGTTTGTTTTTTGCTTTAAAAATGGCGGATTCAAGAAAACAATCGGTGCATTCAAAAAGCAGTGATGTAAAGTTTTTGTGGGAGATGATTGCTGCAGCAGTTTCAGAGGAATCAGTTTTCAGTGCTACTCTAGTATCGCAAATCCTGAAGGTTTGTTTCCATTTATGATGATATTCGTTTTTTGCATATAAATATTGATGTTTAAGACCTAGTCAAAGCTTGAACAAAATTACAATTTACGTATACTATATTGTGTCCATTCTGTGTAGGACCTAGTACATTCCCATGACATCATAACTTGAATCAAAATCTGTCATTAAAAAAAAACATTGTATTAGAAGTAAATTGGCAAGCACTTATTCTTAATTTTATAAATTTCAAATATTCAGCACCACTGGAAGGCCATGCATAAAGCTTATGGGAAGCAGATGGAAAAGATGATTCACCTAATCGAGCTAGTTGTTTTACCGAATTGGAGGAGTTCACTTCAAGAACTCGAAACAGATGATCCTGAGACAAGGGCAGTTGTTCGAACTGTTGCAGAGAACGCTTTGACGTCATTGGAATTTACAGTAGATGAATGTTTGTCGTCATTTAATAATGAAAATTGTGCTATTTGAATGTAGTTGGTTGCTTTGCTTGGCTATAAGATACACTTTCCTCTCCAGTTAGTATGGCGTCAAATTCGTGGTGGGTTTTGACATTGCGTGATATAATTGTTTTATGACTCTCATTTTTGTACAGCTCTAGTAATAGATTGAATAAGATTTATGGAATGTATTGTAGGGGTCTTTTTGATTATAATGACAGAAATGGTATTATGAATTTATTGTTCAGTAAACATAATAAATGAGAATAATTTGCAACGTAAATTATCAGTGTCGTCTACTTTTTGAAATCTAGGATTAACTTAGGTGCACTACAGCCCATGAAAAATTATGTAGGTGGTCAGTATCCTCCCGAAGCTAAGGTCCTGACTTTCATACTGATTTAATTACGCTTTGCCTTCTTTATGATGCTCCACAGTACGTTTGGTATTGTCTATCGTTAATTACTACTGTAATCCGGTACTTACTATCAAATAAGTTCGAGCAACCCTTACCAGGTATGAGCTGATCTTGCTGTTACTTGGTAAGGGTTACTCATATCAAAGAAGAAGCGAAAATCTTGGTTACTTTCCAACAGTTATGAATGTTCTTACTAAACACTTTGATTCAGCGAACTTAGCATTGTGTTATGAACAATTCAAATTTAGAATACTAATATTATTCAGCTTTGTGAACAAGTTTTATTTCAAATTTATGTGGTGAAAAGTATTAAATATGAGATAGGATGCATTTTATTGAAGAAGCAAATAAAGGGTTATTTCATTTTTGTTACGTTTTCAAAAATATTAGATTTTTTTTTACTGATTTGGTGGAAGTTGTTTAGAAATTATCCAATTTTATGTTGAAGTGAAATTGACGAAGGAAAAAGTTGCTGCATATTGCAATGCTGTAAATTGTTGGTGCTTAGTAACATATCAAATATTTTGTAAACTCATACGCCTAGAAGTGTAGAAAATGCTAATAGAATCACAGATTACTGTTCACACCGTACTCGTTTTAGTGTCGTCTGCATCCACCAAAAATTTAATCTCCCTAGTCGTGTAGGCGTCTTTTTTTACAGAATTCATTTGTTTCTCTCTAAAAAAAGAGTGGTAGGTGCTTGAGAAGAATTGTATAGTGAGGATGAAGTTATATGTGGCTGTTAATCATGTTACCTTATATTGTGATGAGCTGGTATTACGTAAGGTAGTGGTTGTTTGTGAAGACTATTTTTTTTAGTAATTCCACCACTATTTTATCATTTCCATATATTCTTTTCTGCCGCCAAAATCTGAAAGCACTAAATGTTTTAATGTGGTACTCGTATACTTCGTCAGACACATATTAGCTATTTCGAGTTTATACATCTACTACTTTCATCTGCTGTGGAGAAATTATTATGATGCAGTTTGTTAACCATAATATAGGGACAGAAAAAATCAGAGAATTCTGAGCTATGATGTAGAACTGGGAAGTGGGAACGGATGATAATATCTGGCACAACGAATATCTGAAGGAACTCGCTCCACCTTATGATGTACAAGATTCTTTCTCATCCGAGGGTGAATTAAGAGAAAAAGTTTCTTATTTGTCCAATTTGAAGGCGACAGACCCTTTTCGGATATCCTCCAACGTTATAGCCTTTATTTGCTGCTATTTATTTGTACACAGACCCAATGAATCAAACATAAAATAACCAAAGATAACGGTTTCTACTGACCAAGAGATGCATGTAACGAACCATCTATTGTTTGTGGATGGTCTGAAGATATTTGCGACCGACGAGGATATGAAATCTATAGCCGAAGAAGCTCAGAGATTTCTTGATGTGGTAGGATTCACTGCTGGCAAAGTCAGCTACTAATACTGAGGTATGTGCTGATAAGGCGGCGCTATTGGAAGGAACTCAAGGCTATAAAACCTTGGAATAGTAGAAAACAGG